GGAAGGTTTCTTTCAGTTCATTGCAGAAGTAGAAGCAGGAATGGTGGTCTTCAATGGTAGCGCAAATGAGTTAAGCCAGATGTCTTTTAAAAATTTGGCATGTGATGTGATTTTTGGTCTAAGTCTCCTTCATGTTTACATGGATGGAGCTGGACAATGTTCTTCTTAGCAAAGTATCTCAAGAATGGAAGAAAAAGTGTCCAATGTACTCAGCCCTTTTATGAAACTAATTTATAGCTCTCAAATGAAAGATACAACTTAATTCTAGCCCAAGAATATGGGGAGGGGGTGGGAAAGGGGAGGGGAGAAGGGCAGCTGGGTGGTGGGAGGGCCACTGGAAAGATCACCTATATATCTGTCTAACAAGGGTACAAGTGAACTTTTCTAGAACTAGAATATAAATGTTTTGACACAATGACTATGCAAATGACATGAAATTTATGTGAACCAGCTTGATGAAAGTATTTCAAATTGTATATGAAAACACTATACTGTACCCCATATTTGCATCAATGTATACAGTTATCATTTAATAAAAAAAAAAGAAAAAAAAAGAAAGGAAGAAAAAGTATCCAATGTACACAGCCTTATTATGAAACTAATGTATAGCTTTCATACAAAAGCTATAACTTAATTATAGCCTAAGAATATGAGGTGGGTGGATGGGTGGAGGGAGGGTGACTCCAGGGATCACCTCTATGGTTTATCTTACAAGGGTGCAAGTGAATCTTTCTAAAAGTAGAATACAAACAGTAACTAAGAAAATGACATGAAGGCTATGTTAACCAGTTTGATGAAAATATTTCGAATTATATGTGAAAACACCACCCTGTACCCCATGATTGCATTAATGTACACAGCTATCATTAAATAATAATAATAATGGCTCAGCACCTGTGGCTCAAGAGGCTAAGGCGCCAGCCATATACACCTAAGGTGGTGGGTTCGAATCCAGCCTCGGCTCGCCAAACAACAATGACGGCTGCAACCAAAAAATAGCCGGGCGTTGTGGTGGGCACCTGTGGTCCCAGCTACTTGGGAGGCGGAGGCAAAGCCCAAGAATTTGAGGTTGCTGTGAGCTGTGATGCTACAGCGCTCTACCCAGAGCGACATCTGGGAATCCTTACACAGCAGGGATTACGATAACCCTTCCATCTCCTTATCCACATGAATGCAGCACAGAATATATATCGTTTGTCATTATTCACTGACTAAAAGAGATTTAGGGAGGTATTAAACACCACTATCCCACGGTTTAGAGACACAAAAAAGTAAACATAAAAAGCAGGGGAAAAAAGGCTAATTTATGTTATGAAAGACTCAAACATATAGGGATGGGAGACGCACCTGCATTTCACAAATGCCTGCCAGGCGTTTACCATTAATGATGCCCTTTGAGTCCTTTTACTGCCAGAGACTCACACCAGTAAGCACTTCCTGAGAAAGAAACTTTAAAAAGAATGTGCACTTGGCAATAAAAAGACAAATAGCTCTGTTTAAAATTAGTTGCAGGCTGGGCTTGGCAGCTCATAGGTGCAATCCTAGCACTCTGGGAGGTGGAGGTGGGTAGATCGCTTGAGCTCAGGAGTTTGAGACCAGCCTAAGCAAGAGCAAGACCCTATTTCTACTAAAAATAGAAAAAACATTAGCAAGGTGAGGCAGGTGTCTGTAATCCCAGATACTCAGGAGGCTGAGCAAGAGGATCGCTTGAGCCCAAGAGTTTGAGGTTGCTGTGAGCTATGACAACACAGCACTCTATCCAAGACAACAGAGTAACACTCTGTCTTTAAAAAAATAAAAAGTCATTAATGTGTTTGAGTAGACATTTCTCCAAAAAAAAAGTGACACACCATTTGTCACTGAGCATAGAGAAACACTGTGAGTCCTTATGAAAAAGTGAATCTAAATCATATGGAGAAATTCCCTTACACCCAGGGTAGAAACAATTAAATAGAAATAATAACAAGCATTGACAAGGATGTGGAGAAAATGAATCCCAAAGAATAGAAAGCAGAGAGGGGTGGAGGTAGGGTGAGGTGCTCCCACTTAATGGCCGCAATGTATGGGTGTGTGGCTCACTTTTGGGGTGTGGGACACAATCCCAAGAGCGAATCGACCTAACAAATTCAAATATTGAGACCTGGTTGTTTGTGTCCTCACATTAAAAAACAAAAAAAAAGAATTTAAAATGGGTCATGGCTCTAAAAAACGGTTTGGTAATTCCTCCAAATGTTGAACACGGGGTTGGGTAGGAACGAAGCATCC